GGCGTAACCAAAATTATGGCCGAATCTGATTGTTTCAGCTCAGGCTCAAAGTGAAGCCCAAAGTGTTTTCAGCTTGAGCTGAAAATAATCAGCAGATGAGCGGCAGATGATCTGCTGCTCCTGCCGCTCAACTCGATCATGCACATTGGGACATCAAAATAATCAAAAGAAAAAAAGGCAAAGTATGGTCGAGTTGAGCAGGAGTGGATCATCTGCGGATTATTTGCAGTTCAAGCTGAAAACAACACTTTCGGCTGAACTTTCAGCTTGAGCTGAAACAATAACATTCGGCCGCCATTCGGGTGTGCCTAAACAGTCGCTGAAACTATTGTTTTCTCCCACTGTTTTGGCCGAGTCTAAACAATAAATTTTGACGCAGCTGAAAGTGCAGTTGAAACTGACCATTTCAGCTACAATTTTGGCAACACTGAAACCATCATTTTTGCTCAAGCTGAAACTGCTGCTGATTTGATAGTTTTAGGTCGCACTTTCTACCATGAAAAATTTGTAGCCTAAACTGTTATATTCGGCATGGCAGAAAGTGCTGCTGAATGTCATGGTATCAGCAACTCATTAAGCCTGACCTGAGTCCGTCATTTTCAACTACATTTTCAGCCCTGGGCCGAAACAATCATTTTCACCAACATGTTCAGCTGAGCTGAATATTCACTTTTGCCAGTGTGATAGGCTCAGTTCCCCAGGCTTGTGACCTGTGACCCGAATCTACGGTCGAAATGGTACTGTATTGAGTGAATAGGACGGAGAAAAAAATCCAGGAAGAAAATGAGGATGTTTGTTTGGCTGCAGTGTGCGGCTTAACCCCAGGGTCCTCCTTCTTTCAGCCTCGAGTCTCGACCACTTGCTGTCGACGGAACACGGCGATTATGAGACACATACTCCATTCTGCGTTTACTGCACGTCTTCCACTGGGTATGCAACTTCTCCTGTCCAGATTACAACCAAAAAATCAAGCATCCACTTGTGGACATCCCCGGCTCTCGCCGCCTCGTCTGCATGCATGCACATCACGGCGGCCGCCCCAAGACTCGAGCGCTTCTCAATGCGTGCTAAGCCTAGTGCGGGCGCTGTGCACAGGCGCGTGCATTCGCGATTTGTGACAACCGGCTGAGGGTCCGCAAGATGTCCTACAGTTGTGGACAAACAAAGTCCGCCAAAAAAAAAATTATTTATTTAGCCGAGATAATTACACCAATTGATAGATCTCGTCAAGGCGGTCACGGCAGTATAAAAATTATTGCATTCTGTCGAGCCGTTGTGCCAGAATTCATCAATTACTGCTCCGGACCGGTCAAAATTTTGGCGCCCGCTTAAAAAGCGTGGGAAAAATATGAAAAAAATGTGCAATCGACGCGCCTTGTTGAGCCGCATCTGAATCTGAAAAAATCTCAGAAATCCATCGAGCCATTCTGGAGAAATAAGTAGATGCAGCTGGACTCCACAGCCTGCCTTGCCATAGCCAGCCTTTCACTCGTTCCGCGGCGGTGCCCTCCATTGACGATCCGCTGTGCTGTTTCGGGCTCGCTGCTAGGCAGAGCTACCCCAATTCGCTTCGCGGCTACGGGCGGACAAATTGGCCACTGCCGTACATAATCGGTAACTACGCTTCCTCCCCGCCTCTCCGCAGAATGCCCCCAAAGAATTTGATACACAAATCGTCATCCACCACCTTCGCCGTCTCGCCCGAACGTCGGCTTTGTGCGCGCATACATGCACATGCGTGCCGCGGCTCCACACATCGCTGTCGCCGCCCCCAGGCCACGACCCGTGCGCTTCTTGCGCGGACTTACTGCCGCTCCCGCAAACATGCTCCACCCAACCGTGTCCGGTGCGGTTCCCGTGCGGCAGCGGCCTCCAGACTTCCGGTCCCCTGCGTCCTCCGCCACCGTCGTCGCGGTGGATATACGGCACACTGCTGTTTCGCTTAAGCCTCCGCCTCCCATTCTGCCCCTTTTCACGTCCTTCTTCCCCTGTACCTTCGCGCCCAGGTCAAACTCACATCAAAGCAGGTGTAGCGTGTAGTGTGAACCTCACCCACCCTCTCTTTCGCGAGTCCCCGCCGCCCGCCGTGCGTCCTGCGTTGGCACTGGGGTTGGATGTAATCATGAATGGAGCGTGTCTGCCGACGCAATGCACTGGTGTCCGTCCGACCGCTCACGGCAGGTATTTTTCTCCCGCCTCTTCTTCCTTCTCTGCTGACTGCTTCCTTCCCAGAACCGGCCCCTCGACCTCTCCGCCACCATCATCATTCAATCAGACACTATGTGCACGCACGCCACCGCTGTTGATGTCAAAACTCGAGCGCCTTCTCACTTGCTGCTTGTTACTGGATTCAAGACACGCTCCCTCCTCACCATCAACTCCGCGCCACCGTCGTGGATACCGACACCTTCCACGCACACGCACGCCGTTACCCCCGCTTATTCCCTCCGTTCTCGCCTCCCTCCAGCTGTGCACGATTTGTAATCCGCACATACCCCTCCCCCCTCATCCTGTACCGGTCTTATTGCGCTGCCTCCAGGCTCGACAGTCCAAACTACTCCAAGCGGATGTGGTGCTTGCCCGGTCCTGATCGCAGACTCAGACAACGCACTCCGCCTCGTTGCCTGCCGTGCGCGCAGCATTTGTGCTGGGATAGGGTACAGGCACGTGCAGAGCAAAGTGTCTGCGTGTGTCGGCGAGGGACGGGGAACGGGGAGAAGCCGATTGTGGATGCAGTGGCGGAAGGCGAGACACCGCGCAGTGGGATGAGTACCGGGATGGGATGGCAGATGAAGATCGCACTGGTGGCAGTGGGTGCGAGCCTTGGGTGCAGATACTTCTGCGGCTCGTCGTGTCGCTTGCATGCATGTCGGCGCCACCGTTGTCACAGAATATATGTCCCACACACACACGTTCCCCCTCGCTGATACTGTTACTCTCGGAGCGCTGCGTGACCAGGTGCAGGGTGTGCGTCTGCTGCCATGATTCTTGGACGGGCAACTGGGGGAGGCCAAGCAGGTGGAAGAGCTCTTTGCGGACACGGATGAGCCTGGCGGTGGTGGCGGGTGCGGGTGCGGGTGTGGGTGCGGGTGCTGGTGCTGGTGGCGCGTGGGCAGCCCATTGGCGGGTAAGGAACGGGACACCAAGCAAGGAGGGCGATGAGGACCAGAAGATGAGAACTAACAGGAACGGGAATTTGCCATCGAGGAAGGCAGGGTGGGGACGGCGGCACTTCTGGGCTCTCGCTCCCCACCGGTGCGTGGCTCAACGCGAACGTGGTGGTAGATTTGTCGGGGCTCGTTCATGCACAGGGCCGAGTGTGCTGGATGGGGGTGATAATAGGTGGCCGATGGAGCTCGAGAATACATAGCACGGACCGCGTTGTTGAGGGTGCGGTGTGTGCTATGGAGATGTTGTGCTATACAGTGATGCAGAGGGTACTCCCGATGCGTCTTGCTTGCCGACGTCTCGCCGCTTCATTGCGCTCAAACACCCGCCACGCACTGCGTTCCCTCTGCCCCCCAAATGCTCGCCGGACACCAGCACAGATCGGCACCGCCGTCCTCGATAGAGCGCCTTTCGGGGACATGCAGGCCTGCTGTACTGCTGCTGCGCACATCCCGACTTTCTCCACGCTCGTGAGCGCCTCCGTGCAGTCGCGGATGGACCCGCAGCACGTCAGTGACTCAGGGCTCACGCCCTGACTCTGCTCTTCCGCCTTCAATTCTCATGGCCACTACGCCTTAGTGCCCACTGTGCCCACCGCGCCTTCCCTAATCCCTTACTCAATCTTTCCCTTGTGCGTGACTGCCACACGCGCATTTTTCCTGGCTCCTTCGGGTGGTGGAAGTGACGAAGCACTAGGAACTGTTAAATGTTTCCGCGGGAATAATCGACAGCGCAGGGGACGGGGGATGCAATACTATGCTTGAGTGCCCAATATGAGGATATGTGGACCGATGTCCTTGATATTCACCTGGCGCTGTTGCGCACACGCGAATTTCGCAGCACGCGTCTGAGGGACGCGCTTGTGAGTACCTCCCCACACCGGCTGTTGCCGTAAGAATCAAGGTATCGCACAGCTCGCTCACACTGCCACTCTAGTCTTCCGCCTTCAATTCCCATGGCCGTACACCCATACCGCACTCACCGCGCTCCCTGTACTTCCTTTCGGACTGATCTCCCGCTCTTCGTGCATTAATATTGTCCCTTGTGCGTGGCCACCACTACTGCATCCTTACTTCAAGTGAGCGAAGGGGCGGATATTGGATGGGACGAGTGATGGTTCAGATGCGAGTAAAAAGCTTTTTGACACAAGTCACCAGTCTTCTCAAGGAACTGGGCGGACTGAATTTCACCCCGGAAGTGGGGAGGTTGAAGTAGCAGGCTCAACTACACAGTACTAAGACTGTGTTGAGTTGCAAGGTCTATTCCCGGAGGAAATAGACAACATCGAGCAGTCATAGGGTACAACGTTAGTTAAATAGTGATACAATATTATCGCCACACTATCATTACTGGTCGGCACCCTCATGGTAGAAAGACATAGAAAGACCCTATGCATCATACATAGTATACTCACCCATTAAATGACTTGGAAACATCGGTCAGTTGCAGTAGACCGAGTGAGCAAAAACCTCACCTTCACTACTTTTTTCGTGAGCATCTGCTTCTGCACATAATGCGCCATGCGCTGCATGTCAGGAGCAAGGAAAAGCAGGAGAACAATGCACATGATCGGGAGCGCGAAATTTCCGCTGCACCGAAACATTGAGTTCCGGGGCAGCCCCAACTGTTCCTGATTCTTTGGGTTTCGGGTACAGTTTCGGCAGCGCCGGAACCCAAAGTGTCGGGAACAGTTTTGGTGGAGCCGGAACTGATCCTGAAATCCTACGTTTCGGGGGCGCCAAAACTTAACTGCCACTGGGTGGCCGCTGAACGCGGCCGCCCATATCCGGGAACCAGAGAACACTCCTAGATCTCGTGTCTTCATGGTCATGGCGTGTCTGGTGTAGCAGTAACACATGTTGTGCAAGTTATTGGCTATATAATGATTTGCGTCACACAAGAGGAGGGTTCAAATCCCTCAGCGCGCATATGAGGGAGAAGGAGGGATTTTTTTTCCAATTCTCTAGCTATTGCAAGATTAACATTGGGCTCATGCACACCAGATGAATTTGTGGTGGCAAGCCGCTGCTAAAGAATATGTACTGCTCTCCCTCGAGCTCAAATATATACCCATCCTTTTCTCACTTTACACCTGCCCCCTCCCATTCCGCAGCGGACGATGGCTAGACCACTGTCCTGAGGTCAGTGCGTGGCGCTTGCCAGGCGCCCGTTGGTGAGCTGCTGGACTGTCGCCCTGCAGCATCATTGGCAGGTACCAGAATGTGTTCGCACCACCGCCCCGCGCAGTTCCCCTTCCCACCCCCATTCCCATCCCTATTCCGACCGTTATTACCCTTGTTCCCGCCCTCGTCGTGGTACCCGACATTCGGGAAGGGGTTGAAGGGAGACTTGAGCAAGAGCTGCTGGTGTACCCATCTGCATACGAGCCGTAGCTCATGTCATGAATCGCCATGACTCAGCATCACAGATATCCTTTTTCGGATTATACTAAATTCTTTTTTGGGAATAACTCCTCTTTGACCAGGTTATTCCCTGGCACACAACACCCATTTGACCTCTCATGGAGAACCTGAGATGGCAGATAACGAGATACAAGCTTACGAACAGATGATGAACGTCCCTCGGACCTTTACTTGGAACCCATTCGGACATGGATTCCTCACCACTTTACTGCCCGGGTTCTTATTGTAGTAACCCGGGACTCTACACAACAAGGGCATGACATCATACACATACAACTTGGGTTACTTGTGCTAGCAACCCGGACTCCTTTATGCTGATGTCCATGTCCAATGGGTCATGACTTCACTCCTTTATGTTGATAGATATTCATCCCTGGTATCCATGCCAAGATGACTACACTCCTGAATTGTGACAGGTGTCCCCCTGGCTCCACCTGTCAGCTCCTTTATGTTCATTTATCTTTCATTACTCCTTTACAACTCCTATGGACCTACGATCATCCTATGATCAGACTCCTAATGGTTACAGTATATAAACTCGGTAGAATCTCCCCTGTACAGTAGATTCTACCTCCTCTATTCTCAGGCCTTACTTTGGCTGGATTGCTTGGTTCTTGGATTTGAGCCTGGAGTGCTCTTGTCATGATCTTGTTGTTCTGATTCTGCCTTCACTCCACTTTTGCGTGACAACACCAGAACCCCTATTCTCTGTCCCTTGCCTTGGGATCCTGACCTAGCAGTGACTCGTCAGGTAGTGGCAAAGAGAGACACTTACCTGCCGAGGGGAAGAGATCACCAAACTAGTTCCCTGGCAGGGTTGCACAGAGACTTTGTCTGAGTTCCCCTCAGACACCCCAGTCTTGGATCCAGTTGAGACCCCTGTTCGGAGTACCCCTGAGTTGGGTTCCTCCTCTTGGGTTCTTGAGATGCAGCCCCAACCCCTATCTTGTAACCCAAAGCCCCTATTAAAGCAACCCGGAGCGGGTTTGTTATATTCGTGTTGGAGAAAGAAGGGAGAAAGGAAGAGAGGAGGAGAGGAGGTAGGTTCCGGATGATGGATGTCCGGGCCAGAGGATGGAGCTGGCTGGACGGAGATTAACGGAAGTACGGAAGTTAACAGAGGCCAACTATCTGGGATCTGGAACTACGGATATCAACCCACTACACCACAAGGGGTTAAGGGTGAGTGGGGATCGTACTGCTGGCAACTTGAATAGGGAAGGATGACAACAAGGATGGCTGAGGGACTTCACTCGTTGGCCGGATGAGGCAAATGAAAGCCGGACAGATTTCTGGATGACCACAGCCAAGGGCAAGGGTTAAAGCTGAGGCCGGAAGGGTTCAGAACAAGTCCGGACGGAGGACGGAGGACGGAGGTCACATCTGGACATTGGATGAAGATAGGATAAGATTGTCAAGACGAAGAAGCTGGAAGAGGCGGAAGTAAGGAAGGACAACCGGATGAGTATCTGAAGGGCAGAGACAATGTTACAGTGTTAAGTCAGAAGTATCGGGAGTATGGGAGATCAACCGGAAGTATGTTTGAGGCGGAGTAAACATTTATAATCAAACTGAAGTACACCCAAGATGGTACTATGTATTATAATATTTACGGAGCAAATCCGGATGCGGAGAGAAGTAACTAAAAGACAATAGGATAAGTTGTACAACAATAAAGACGATAAAGGAAAGCATGTGGAGCATAGTGCATAAGGACATAGGATTTGATGGTGAGTTGGATGACTGATGAGAACCATCGGATACGACACTGCATGGACTTGGTGTCATGGGATAAGTCTGAGGAAGTTCCGTGAGACTTCCGAGGCCGGAGCTGGAAGACGGAAGTCAGAAGTTGGAGGACCGGAAGTTCGGATGGGAATCTGGAAGTGGCGGAGAATGCCGGAAGTGAGGCCGGAGATGGCCGGATGTGGTCGGGAGTCATCCTGCAGTCACACGGGTGGAACAGGGTTCCTCTCACTAGGGTCTGGCACATAGTTGCATCGCTCTTCACAACATCTTCGGGTTCCTCTGCACAGGTTGCTCTTGTTCTATGGATTCTGGGTCAGTTGGCTACATCCTCATCCTTGAATCCTCGACACCAGGTCACCTGCTATTCAAGCGGTGGCGGATTCTCTCTCAACACCTGGGGATTGCTACTGTTGTGTTGTGCTCGGACATAGCCCAGCTGACCTAAGGGCCATTGCTGACAGCTCACTGCGCTCGACAGCAGCTTGTACACTGAGTCGATGCTCATGTGGCAGTGCTTGTTCCTGTGTTTCTGCTGCTGCTGCACGGCCCTGGCCCCCCCTCGAGCTTGTCGTTTCCAATGCCGATGCTTGCAAACAGGAACACCCCAGGGTACTGCTCGTGGTATGGGTACGGGTGCCCATATGGCGGCTTCGGGCCCAGCACAGACAAGAGCTCAGACAGCGTGTCGTAGGCATGCGCGATTGTCAGGGGCGATTGTGAGGTGCGGCTGGCAGAGGTGGCAGCAGAGGAGGCGGGGCTGTTGGGCACGGGTGAAGCACGGTGGCTGATGCAAGGGCTGGTGGTGGGCGAAGCGTGGTGGCTGATGCCGGGGCTGGTGGTGGGTGTCTCGGAGACAGAGGTGGAGGCGCTGCAGCAGCGGTGAAACATGTGCCGGCAGTCTATGGGTGACATCCACTAAAATGCAAATCCGATGGGCTGAATGCAATGAAGAAGTGCGCTCTAGTTCAGGATTCACAAATCCTGAAACCAACACAAATTCCTAAAACAACAACCAACCAAACTCCACTAGCAATTCCAGATGCAGTCCCAGAGAGTGCGACCGAGTACGGGTCTTTGTGTACCGATAGAAGATACATAGGAACAGTTGTTTAATATTTGTGGATCGCAGCAAGCAAATCCAGAATCGTTTGCAGACAATGGTTCAATTTATAGTTTTGCAACTCTGGGTCACCCACTCTAACCTCGTAAGACAGGAGCAGTGAACCAATTTGACATGCAACACACAACAAATCCAGAACGCACGTAGAACACACAAAAACACACAGGACACACACAAGTAACATGCAGGACACACTGAAACGGTGCACTTGGGTGCAGCTGTGTAATCAATATGCCAACTCAAACTACCAAACCAGAGGGCGCAGCGAACAGAGTCACTAGACACAATCCAATCCAACAATCCAAATCAACAGGAATATATCACAAACTCCAACTCCAATGTCATGAATGTGTTGGGGGAAGTAGGGTACGTATCACCCTTCAAGAGGGTGTGCAAGGGAAATAAAAGTAATGTCTTTGTAGTGGGAAAGCAACAACAACGGGCTGTTCAGGCGCTTGTTATGCAGAGCAGGGACTTCTGGCCGCTGGAGAATTGAGGGGTTCAATAGGAAGACTAATGACTGCCAGACGACTCTTGAGGGAAACAGAATTCAATAACGACTGACACCGAGCCAACGGGTAGCGATTGCAGAGCAGACTGTCAACAGACAGGCCTTACTTGGTACAACGGGAACACGGCTGGCAGCGGCTTGACAACGTGGGGACAGTTACGCAGTTGGCGGCGGCTCTGGCTAGGAGCAGGGGCACTTCTACTGCAGGTGGCGGCAATACACCAAGGTGGGTCTCAACCAGACGGCGGCGGCTACTACTCGTGGGGACAGTTACACGGAAGGTGGCGGCCTCTGACTACGGGGGCAATTACACGAATGGCGGGGACTCCTGGTTAGGGAATGCGGGCACTTATATCGAGAGCGGCGGCAGTACAGTGACGGGGGCAGTTACACCAAAGGTGGCGGCGAGCAGCAACGGGGGCTCTTACATGGGCCAATAGCACTCTCAGCTATATCATCGAAGGCAGCACACAGACCACAGGCGGCGGAACTACAGCAATGGGGGCACTTCTATGAACGGCGGGGACCACTCCTGAACCACAAGAGATGATGCGGGCACTTATATCAATGGCGGCGGAAGCTGCAGGACGGGGGCAGTTACGTGGCAGCTACCTCGTTCGAGCGGGGGCACTTATGTCTCGTGCTTCCGAGGACTGTTCAAGACTTTGCTTCGTCTGGTCCTCTTCTGAATATCAAAAATATGTCTTTTATCTCAAGAGTCCACTATATTCACCCCGATTTCCGGGCAGATAGTATACTGGCTAATACATGCTCAAGCACGGTCTTTTATACAAACGGGAGGTCACTAAAGGAGATGAAAGGAAATGTAGAGGATCAAACCGTGTCGTGCTGCCAACGGGTGGATGGCCAATTGTACCGCAGGGATATCTAAACCCTGAGTATTCTGTCCTCCCGCTGGAGATACTCCACATGAATTCAGAGCCTAGCCTCTATGGCGTGCTCATCTTCTGATGGTTGTGACAGATGCGGTCTGCTTCTTCTAACTCCCGCTGACTCACGAGTTTGACTTGGTCTGCCGCCAGTTGTCTTTCAGTCTTCTAGTTGTGGCGGGACCTACGAGTGTAGGGCTCTATCTTCCGGGAGGTGTGGTCCGGGACGAATAAG